AATGCCTTTCCTCACCTTTGGAAGGCACTCACAAAGCCTGGTAGATGCTTACAGACCCTGCTGCTGAAGCTCCCTATTAAGCTGGGCCTTCTCTCATTCTCCCTTCCCTCATTTCCCAGGAACACAGCTGGCGTGCTCTCCTGGCAGCTTCTGAAACAGAGAGAGGAACTATCTAAAATCCATGGCAAGGGGCATTGCTCTTTGTTTTTTTCACTCAGAACCAGGAATGCACAACGTCTCCAAATAACTAGTTCTCTGACTAAGGGGAAGTCTGTAAGCATTGCTTTTGCTTGATTATTGATAATCTGCACCCATATTTCATCCTTATCTGTATTCAGTAAACAGCATATAATCTTGACACTGGTAGCGTTTCTTCCTAAGTAATATCTAACCTAAAGTGGAATTTTGGCTGGAACAGGCCTGATAGTTGATTCATTTCAGTTTGCTATTTATTATATTTATACCCTGCCTTTTTTCCTTCCAAGGAATGCAAAGCAGCTTACGTAATTTTCCTCCTACTGCTGCTCTCAATCTTATCCTCACAGCAGCAACCCTGTGAGGTAGGTTGGACTGAGAGTCTGTCACTTGCCCAACGTCACCCAGTGAGATCCATGGCCAAGTGGGGACTAGAACCCAAATCTCCTGAGTCCTAGTTAAACACTGTAAGTATTGTATCACACTGGCTCTCTGCATGCACAACATCCTAAGGAAAGACATCAGTCAGGGATGATCCAGGAAGAGGGTTGGAAAGACAATAATGAGGGGAGGAGAAACAAAGGGTACAGTCGATGGCTTTGGAGACTAGAGGAAAAATGCTGAGATGGCCTCTGAGTGGTCTGCCAAGACAAAAGGCCCTGCAGACATAGGAACTTAATGTGTACAAAGTAAATAATAATAATAACCACCTTACCATGAGGACAGGCTCCAGGAGAATGGGGTACGAGGTTGGACAGAAATACAAGAACCACTGTGTTCTCTTACAACAGGGGTGATGAATCTTGGGCTCCATGGGCAAATCTGGTCCTCCTGGGCCAACTACAATCCTGTACAATTCCCCCAATAGCTACACCTCATTCCCCAACCCCTTTCCTTGGAGTGCTGATTGTTTAGTAGTTTTCTAGTTCTTGTTAGTTTGTTTATGTGCATCCCCCGCTTCCCACCATTCCAAAAAGTAGAATTGTCTCTTGTAAAGCTTAGTTAGTAGCAGGAAGAGTTTGAAGCTCCAGTATGCTGCTATTTTTTAGCCATTCCACTACTGGAATGCAGCCTCCAAGAGTTTCTCCAAAACAGAATTGGGTTCCAGGGTGAAAACTGTTCCCCATACCTGGCTTAGAAGTAATTGCACCATGACTGACAATACAGTCTGCTTGGAAGCTATGGCACAATAGCCATGTGTATACAGAAGTAAGCCCCACTAAGTTGAAGGAGATTTATTTCCAGGTAAGTGTGTGTTGCTCGGGAATGTAGCCTAAGATTTCCTGGACTCACTGGGACTTTCCTTTTGAGAAGAAATGCAAAGGATTGCACCGCCTAGCAGGCACAAAGCCCTAATTAATCATCACCTTCATATTTTTCACACTACCTTTTTGCTCAAGCACCAAGAGTGGACTGCACACTGCATGGATTTCCTTTACCTTATTCTCTGTGCTATAATTCATGTTCCCTGCAACTATTACAGCTTATTCGGGAAGGGTTTTCTTATACCATACAATACATTGCACATAAGTCAAAACAATTTTCAATTTAATTTGCAGTTCCCATATGAAAACTGCAAGTATTTGCTTATTGAGCTCTCTATAAATGGAGAAATAAAGTATATGTTGAGGCTATACAGTTGGCTGCTGGGATTCTGAAGATTGTTTATAGAGCATTTTTCAGTCTACATGGGACTATATAGGAATATTGACTAGGATAACATATTGTCTGATACAGACAGGATAAAGTTTTGGGCATGCTGTCTCCAAAGAGATAAATGATTGAACAGTTCATGGAGCATATAGTGAACACCTGATTATCATCATCATCATCATCATCATCATCATCATCATCAAGCTTAAATTAAGTTCTTGGAACTTCCTATTTTGTTTCAATAGTGAAATGATTTTGGGGAACATTTGCCCATCAAGCCCTATTGAGAAGTTGGTCCTCATATGATTCATAAGTGGTGAACTGCTGAGGGTAAAATTCTGCCCATGTGGGTTCCCTCTCTCACCTCACCCTACCCTTGTCCCTAGAATTCAACAAGTGACACCAGTGTCAGTGTTAGAGACAGCAGCAACGACCTAAAGGAAAATATGATGGACTTCCAAAAAGCATTTATTCTAAATGCATTAGTTAACAAGCAGACTGATCCTATGGTCTCTAGGTGAGCTTGTCCTGAATACTTCAACAACTTTATTAATAATTTGGATGAAGAGATGGGGAAATGCTTATCAGATAATTTGCAGATGACCCAAAATTGGGTGGGATAGCTAACACTATTGGAAGACAGAAACCAAATTGAAAATGAAAATTGGGCAAAAAATAAGAAAATGAAATTCAGTTGATCATGAGCTGAATATGAATCAGCAGTCTGATGTGGTTGCAAAGAAGAAAAACATAATTTTTGTTTTTATATTTGGAAGTATAGTTTGCAAATTGGGGGAAATTAATAGTTCTTCTCAGACCTCATCTCACAGACTGTGCTCATTCTGAAACCACACTTTGAGAAGGATTCAGATTAACTGGTAAGAGTTCAGAGAAGGGCAACAAAGATGTTCAGGGGACTGGGAACTAAATCCTACAAGGAAAGATAAAGAAATTTAGGTTTAGCCTTGAGAGCATGTTTAGCCTTGAGAGGAGAAGACTGAGGGGAAATGTGGTAGAACTTTTCAAGTACTTATTGTCACAAAGAAGATTGACGTGATCTGTTTTCTGTCACCCAAGACTTTTGGGCATGAAATAAAAGCCTTCAGGTACTGGAAGACAGATTTTTGGTGAACATCAGGAAAAGCTTCTTAAGAGTCAGAGCGGTCAGA